CGTAAGGTCGGTATTATTTGTTAGGTGATGGTGAAGTTGGTCCACCGCGTAGTTCTGTCGGGTCTTACGTTCCCCTCGGGGCTACCGTACTTAAGAGTATGCCTCTTCTGTGAAGCAGCAACGGTGGTAAAGAAAAGCATCACCTATGCTTACTTTGAGAATTTAGAAAAATCTCAATGACAAAATGTTTCATTGACTTAAAGTTTTGCAAAAATGAGATGTTAAAAGCTCTTTAAAAGCTAGAATGCTAAAGTTTTTTTTAATTTTTTTATTGTTAGGTTTCATTAAACCGCAATATCTTAACTGCCTATATTGCACTTTTGTACTCAATCACAAATGTTTTCCAAGTTTGACATGTAGCCTACTACCTTTTACTCTGATGTTATTATCTTTTGAAAGCCTCCTGTAGAGCTCACATTTGATTTCTTTTCAGGTTGAAACTGATCAGTTGATGTATGTCATCCTGATTATCTCCACTAGAGAGCAGAAGAGATCTATATAACATGCAAGTCACAGCGGTACTATCAAAGGACACCATTTTAAGCTACTTTAATTTATCAGAATGTGTGTGAGTGTTTTGTAAATGTGAATATGGGTGATGAATAGGTCCGTTTTGGCTGTCTGGTTTTTGAGGGCATGCTTGTGTCCATCCTTAGTAACTATTGTGCTCTAACTCTTTGTGTGCATGTGTGTCTCCAGGGGCAGACATACACACAGAGACATCTATTTGCACAACTCCAGCAACCAGTGGGAGGACATAAACACCCTGGAATAAGCCAAACAATTAGTTAAAGAGAGCGTTGTCTATCCCATTAGGTGCAGCTCCTGCTCAATCATGCTGGTATTTCAACACTGGTTGTCCAGCTTCGATTCTGAATAAATCTCCCCCAAAGAGCTTAAAGAGCAAAACGGTAATGAGGTCAAGCCAGTCTGTCAGGCTGACATTAAACCTATATTTAAGATAACATGGTAACACACACACAATAGACTAGCAGGAATAAGGGAATATTAAAGTATATGCATTTGTTGAAAACTTTAATAGGTACACCTGTTCAGTGATTGGTAGTGCAATTATCTAATCAGACAATGACATGTCAGCAGCTCATGGCATCTAGACATGTAGATGCCATCAAGATGACATGTCAAGGTCACGAGCAGATGGTAGCCAGAATTTGCAATAAACAACATGAAAGGGTGCCAGTGGTATAAAGTTGCACTCAAAAAAATAATTCATTGGATGAACGTAATTTTACGTTCTTGCCACTTGCCACTTATATTCCATCTAAACAAATCATGTTATATTAATCCATCTTGATTGTGTTGTCTCAACATGATATATGTGTGTAGGTTTAACATAATATTAACATTAACATTCAATTAATTTGACTTTTGTTCAATCAACATGTTTGCACCACGTTAGTCTAATTAAATTTATTTAAATCCATCTTATATTGTTTAAACACTTTGGCACATCAAAAATCAGTCTTGTCACATGAACTAGTAAAATATTTGTTTGTTACACCAATGATAATCTTGTTGAATGAATGAAATGTAACTTATGTCTGTAGTACATGTTGTATTCATATTAAGTAATGTTCAACCAAAAAAAAAAATATATATATATATCAATGGATTTACAGCAACTTCCAATCCACCCATCTTCTTAGCTTTATCTGGGCTGCGGAAGTGATAGGGCAAGAGGGACAGGGTACATCCTGGACAGGTCGCCAGTCAATCATACAGAGACAAGCAATCATTTGCACTTTAACACCTTTGGGCAATTTAGAATAACCAGTTACCCTTACAACTGCATGACTTTTAACTGTGGAGGAAACCAGAGTACGCAGAGAGAACCCACTGCAAACTTCGCCACATTGTGGATTTGAACACAGGATCTTCTTCCTCTGAGGCAACAGCACGAACCACCATGGCATTAATCTGTCAATACAGACTTAACAAAAGTAGGAAAGCTATGCTTGATGATGCTTTATGTTGTTGTTCTTGACAAGTTAAACCATAAGAAATAGTAACAGCATACACGTGGTGTGGTTGTCTTCCTCTTGTAACCCCACTGATTTTCCTGTGGTTTGACATCTAATGTGATCTTGTGAATTTCGTGAGTCGACCCCCAAAATCAAATTGGGTGGTTGTTACATGCATAAGATCCAAACTTGTAATTTGAACTAAATAATTCCATGTTTTTATGGTGAACGTAATTAAATCATGTAGCATCTGCATGAAATTCAGCAACTTAATTTGTTCTTGTTGAGATGACATCATACAATCTAGTAAGAGTGGCTGGATCCAGGCAACTAACCGCTCTTACTAGATTGTATGATGTCATCTCAACAAGAACAAATTAAGTTGCTGAATTTCATGCAGATGCTACATGATTTAATTACGTTCACCTTAAAAACATGGAATTATTTAGTTCAAATTACAAGTTTGGATCTTATGCATGTAACAACCACCCAATTTCATTTTTTGAGTGTGTGTGGGATATTTTCTTGGCACAATTTGGACACTTCAGTACCAACTGAGCGTTGCTGATGCCCATGCCTTTGTGAGTACAGTGTACCCATCTTCTAATGGCTGCTTCCAACAGGATAGCACACCATGTCACAAAGCAGCTCAGATAAAAAAAATTCTTGAACATAACAATCAGTTCACTTTACTAAAATGGACTCTACAGTCACAGGTCTCAATCCAGTAGAGCACCTTTTGGGATATGCTGTGATGGAAGGTTTGTGTCACAGATGTGCATTTGAAGCAACTGTGTGATGCTCTAATGCCAATATTGACCAAAATGACTGAGGAATACTTCAGAAGGCAAATGGGAGTTCAACACAGTACTAGCAAGAAGTACCTAATTGTCTAATGAGTGTATAATATATACAGTATATATAAATAGGTGAACAAGCAACAGCAAGGATATTCTACAGCTTCAAGCAAATGTACAACACAAATGCCTATCACATGTGGTCGCAAATTTTGAAGCCATCCTGATAACCTCCCACCAACGATGTGGAGATCCAACCTCTTTTAGATCCAATTAAAATCAAGACACTCAAAAAGATGTTCTGGAAAAGAGTAGAATTCTTGGAACAGAGTTTAATACACTGAATCATATGAACAGCAGGAAAAATACATACAGACATTTAGCAAGAGAATTACAAAGCAGAAAACAAGCAAAGCAAAACCCCAGGGTGTACAGCCTTAAGCACAGACAGCAGAGCAACACAAAGGCAGACAGAGAGAAACAGCAGAGGGGAAAAAGTGCTGGGGTGTCCTCTGGTCCCCTGATATATAGGGACCAGTATCCCCGCCCCCTACTGCTGGGTAACTTTCCCACCCGTCCAAACACAGCTGCAGGGTTCAGGTAGCGGCCAAGGTCTTGGCCAGAGGCCAGTCAGGACTCCAGCTACCCTTTGGCTTTGGCTTATCACAATAGGTCATGACACGGTCAAACATCACACATTAATCCTAATTATTAAATCTTGGAAAAAACACTTCAGTGTAGGTTCATAGTGTGTGTGTGTGTGTGTGTGTGTGTGTGTGTGTGTGTGAGTGATTATATCGTATGATATTTTAGTTGTGATGTGTTCAGGATCTCTGTTACAATATTTTTAGGTTTTAGCTTCTGTGAAGGACTTTGTGATTTTTATCTTGAAAGGTGCTATATAAATAAAGTTTTACTTACTTACTTTTACTTATTCTTTTGGTTGTACTTCATGAAAGACATTGAGTGTGTATTAGGGAAGGTTAGTTACCGGAGCTGGAGAGTGAGTTATTTAGGCGAACTCTCAACAGTATTAACTGCCCTGTTACTGTAAAACCTTAATAAACCTCGGTGAAGCAAAATGTCTTGTGCTTAAGACTCTACATGAAAGTTAAAATATGTATGTTCAGTGCACATAGATATATAGTGTATATAGTTACCTAGTTATACATATCACACAAAAATCCACCACACACCTCTGTGTATATGAAACACAACCAGGTTGCCTGAGACATTTACAGACAGAGATGAGGACTGATATGTTTGTCTTCTCATCTGATAACCAGATTTATTAAATACCATCTGACCATTGAGTATTTACAATAAAGGATTTGGAGTGTCAAGCTTGAGATTTCACTCATCTTGTGTTTAGCATTGGAGCATCATGGCAAAGGCACTTTTTATGGATTCAATACCATTGCAATGAAATATTAAATGTCATTTCACAATTCTATTATGAATAAGGCAGCCAAGATCAAATATTGACAGCTACTGTTTATATGCCAGTCGTCCTCTCATTGCCTTGATTAAATACACAGTATAGAGAGAAATAAGCAAAACACACTTCTATTAAGTTCAAAGACATTTATTTCTTTTGGCACCGTCAGTTTCATTCTTAACCCCGAGTAAATTGCACATCTGGTACAGTATTACAATTCATCTGAGAATGCACTGCTACTGATGCTGCTTCTAATTAACATCAGTTAGGGTAGTAACAGCACATTTTCACTAGACTAGAAACCCTACATAGCTCTTAGTAAGTTCAGCCATTAGCCTGAAAATAAGGCTGTTTTACATGAAAAGATACAAACTGAGAACACAATCAGCAGCAGTGTAAAACACCACAATTACATTTATCCACAGTGCTACAATAGGATGTAGATATTTAGCCCTCCCAGTGGGCCAGTGCAAAATTCAAGACCAGGAACGGAAGTTGCAGATACTGAAGCCAAGTAGCTTGGTCAGAGTCCAGTATTATTCAAGTTCATTTATAGGCTATTTGAGCTCAGAACATTTTTGACAAAACAAAGTAATCAAGTTTACATAATTAAACCATTCTGTAAAATTAGAAAATGACAGAATTACAGGTAAACCTAGCAGAAGTCTGTAGTATGATACAACCGTGTTTTCCCATTTTCTTACCTTAAATGACTTGCACAAACATTTTAAAGAGTTTCTCCAAATAACATCATTGGTGTCCTACCACAGTATGTACAGTATGTGATGTAAATGTTTTGCTTTATTGTTTGAAAGGATTTCAGTTTTCCACCTTAACCTCCACAGTTCTGAGATAAAAAAAAAAAGAAAAAAGAAAAAAAAGTCAAAACCACACACATCTAGTCAGAAAATTTGGTGGTTGCCACAATGATGTAGCTCTGAAGATGAGCTCCAGCAGAGACAGGTTAACATAAAAATAAAACCACCAAGGTTCGCACAGCTGACAAGACGAGAGCTTTCATTAGCATATCCTCCCAGGTTTTTAACACCTTCAAAAGACACACGGTACACAAAAGGTGAGCTTTGAATCGGTAAATGGTGGCCAATGCCAAGAGAAGCTTTAAAAGCAAAGAACAGAATTTCTCTTTTTTGCATCTTCTCACCGAGAGTAGCTTAGAGAGCCCGAATCCTAATGCAGCTACATTTACAATAGACCTCATCTGCAGAGAATCTGCACAAAGTGGAAATTGGCATCTAATAAGAAAATAGTGACTTTAGCTGTGCATTATATACATTACTGTAGGTTTTACAATCCAGATTAAACATTGCATATTTGTTTTGAAAGATTTTCCTTGGCCTGCAAAAAAACCACTTTGAATATCAGTATTTATTTGTAAAAATCATTGGTTATGAAGAAGTAAACACAACCAAACCTGGTTGCATATATTGCCTTATTTTTATCAAAAGAATGATAAATTTGGCAAAATAAGCTTTAAGGCTTTCATCTTTAAATTGGATCCTAATAATATGGATTTTCTTTCCTTTTATTAGTCATTCTGACTCTGGAGGCAGTCTGAGCTCTCAGTGGAATGTTTAATGACCTGATGCTTAGTTTCACTGTTAAAATCGAGGTAAAGTAAGGAAGGCTGCCATTCAGAATGCAATGTTTGTTTGGGTGATTTGGCTCAGTTTGAAATCTCATGCCAAATGTTACGGTGAAATGGAGTAAGACATTTTCTTTTGCATAGCCTTTATGAGGGTCAAGAGAGTCAATGAAGATGATCAACTGTACCAATGTAAATTTGGATTGTCTACAATTTCATATAAAAATATTAAATGTCAGCACTCTGAATTATCAGCAAGTCTCTCCTCTACCAGATTTTAGTGGTTGGGAAGAAAATGTCACAGCACAAGATTTGATGGTAATGTCCATGTGCAATCATCTAGGACTCTATTTTGCCTTAGAAAACTCCAGCTTCTGTAAGTAGTGTACCAGCCTCAAGTAGCAAACCCTTCATGTAGGCATTAAAAGTGTAGTACATTGTGAGGAAGTCCTGGGTGCTGAAAAAGGTGTCTGCTAAAGCAAAGCCCAGCGTGGAAGGGATGAATCCTCTGCCATACTCCACCATCCAAGTCCCGGCACTCCACTGGACTGACGTAGCCTCTCCTACAGCATGCACAATAGTGTCACCTGTGGGTAAAGAATATGAAAGAACAGGGGAAAAAAATTACTACAACCCAATAATACTACAGGAGTTTAGCTAATAACATACTGTGCTGTGAAAACTTATTTACCAACAGCCTGATTTTTTTCCTCTTTTGCATATTGTTACACTTACATGTTTCAGGTAATCAAATTTTAACATTAGACAAAGATAATTAAAGTAAATTAAAATGTGGTTTAAATTATTTTTATTTAAAATGGGAAGCTATCCAGAGCTACCTGGCCCGATGTGACAAAAATAAATACCCCCTCTTTAGGGCTGCACGATTAATCGTTAGAAAATCGCGATCTCGATTCATACTTATGTGCGATCTCATTTCCAAATGACAACGATTTTTAAAAAAAAAGAAAAAAAAAAAAAAAAAGACGACGCCGATTGTACCGCATTTTGATCCGGGACGTAATCTGCATGAAAACAAGCGCTCACTCCTGCTCAACAAATGACAAGGGCGGAGCCTTATACCACGTGATACAGAAGCTGTGCTGTGTGATGCTAAAATTAGCAGGGAAAAAACAACGGAGAGCACGTCAGGGGTGACGAGAAAGTGACAGGAGAAAATCCGTCCCGGTCAACCACCCAAACATCAATAACGGGAACCTTATACAGCGCTTCCCTATACACGTCGAACTCCCGCAGGCACAAAGAAATTACGGAGGCTATTACTTATCACCTGACCAAAGATATGGCTCCCATCAACACTGTGCAAAACGAGGGATTTAGGAAAATGAACAACACCCTAGACAAACATCTCTTATGGCGAGAACCCCTCGCCATAAGAACAGTTTCTTCCCCTCTGTTGTTGGACACATGAACAATAAACGTACGACTGTTCCCACCACTAACACATGACCCTACGCTGTGTCACTGCATCATTCCATGTTTTGGCACTGATCACCACCTGCACTCATGTATATATCTTTCTACGTAGCACTTTTAATTCTTATTCTTACTTTTATTTTTTCATGTCTATTTAAGCGCAATTTATGACAGTATGTTTGCACTGAAGCACCACAGCAATTTCCTAATGTTGTAAACCTGCTCAACATTTGGCAATAAAACCCTTTCTGATTCTGATCCTGAAACGCTACACAGTGCCGTCCCGCAACTATTTTTCTATTGTTGCACTACCTGCTCTATACACGCAGCGTCGAGCAATGGTGGAGACGGAATTTCAAGCAGTACAACATTTTGCGGCAACAACAAAACGTGAGACATTTGTTGTTTTTATGTTTATTTATTGTTTTTATGTTCAGTCTCAACTGTTATGAAGTGCAGTTAATAAGTGCAATAAATATTTATACTGGAAAAGAAAATTGTGAGAGAATCGTGATCTCAATTCTAAGCCAAAAAATCTCATTTTATGCAAAATCATGCAGCCCTACCCCTCTTGTTAAATCATAAGAGGGTAATTAACCAGTTTAATTTCAGTAGTCACACGCAGGCCTGATTTCTGCCAGACCTGATGAATCAAGAAATCACTTAAACAGAATCTGTTTCACAAAAACAAAACAAAAAACAAACAAAAAAAAATAAATATATATTATAGTTATTGAGATACATTAAAGTTTCCATTGTGTATAAATGCAAAATTGAATATTGTAATGAGTTAATGCATTACCAGGATAGTATATTTCACTCTTGGTTGTCCCCTCTTTCCACTGTCTGAAGGTTCCAGAAATGATGGTATCAGAAATCTCAGCCCAATAACGACCTGAGAGAAACAGCAAGATGCAAAGAGTCAAAATGATACAATTCAGAGTATTTATAGTTTTCTAAACATACAATTCCAATAGTCTTCTGTAAATCATGTCACAAATCAAATATTATTGTTGGGACTAAGAATGGGACTATATATCAGCATCTCCTAGATTGCAAGGATCAAGTTGTAGCCCACTGTGCAACATTGTAAGGACTTGGACTGGAATGGGGGTGCTTCAGACTGACTTCACTTTAGAGCATAAGAAGGGCAATTCATCCCTTCATATCTGACACCATACTGTAAATAACTCCAGCAGATTTCAACTTTGAGATCAGAGTATCCTGCTCTAGAGTAACTTGTTCCCCAAAACCATTATGTCTGCAGATGTTTACGTCAACTTACACAAAAAAAACCTTTTTTTGGAGCTGATCCATCTATGTACCGTAAATGTCGGGCTATAAGCCGCTACTTTTTGCACAAGCTTTGAACCCTGCGGCTTTTAGTCAGGTGCGGCTTTTCTATGGATTGCCCGTGATTTTTGTCATATCGTAAGACGATTTGTTTTGTGTGTTCCGCTGTTGTACGGCACTACGTTGCCTGGCGGACGGACATGTGACTAACATACCACTCTTGAACCCCGATCCTTCCGCCAGGCAACGTAGTGCCGTATGAAGTAGCGCGAAAAACAAACTTCAAAGTAGCGGTACACGTTCAGCGGGAGTCGTGGATGATGAGCGGCGATAAACTTGCAAGTTATGCCCAAAAAGCAAGTTATGCCCAACTCCACCGGTGGATTCTGACAGCGTGGAAAAGTGTGAAAACATCCACGATCACCAACGGATTTTGAAGGGCTGGACTGCTGCATGATGGAGAGGAGAACACCGCCACGGCCCTTCTGAGGGTGTTCGACTCTGACACTGACAATGAGGATTTCTTTGGTTTTGAAAGTGACAACGAAGGAGAGAAGAAGAGTGGATGACGAAGCCATCCTGAGCCTGTTTGTATCCGACACTGGAGAAGAGGACTTTGGTGGTTTTAGTGCGCAGGAAGAAGAGAAAGATGGTGGTGAATGACTGACTTTTCTTCTTGTTAAAGCTGTGTCACTGCACCTGAGCCTAAAAGGTAGTCCGAATCTATTTTTCTGGTGTGCTGTAGGCTACTGTTATGTACTACATGTGCAAATATGTACCCATAACTTGTTTTTCAAAATATTAATAAAAGTGATGTCTCCAAACAGCCATCTCTTTCCTGACAATTCCCTTTGTGCATATTCTCTTACATATGATAAGTCAACATTGAAACACCTGCGGCTTTTGGTCAGGTGCGGCTAATGTATGTACAAAACAGGATTTTCCCCTGATTTTAGCTTGTGCGGCTAATATTTAGGTGCGCTTTGTAGTCCGGGAAATGCGGTCTCTCTCTTTAACTGCTCTCCTTCCTCACCTGAGTGTCCTCCAGTGTCCACCGCAGTGCCAAACAGTATCAAGTACTCTGTGAGAGAGGCATGGAGGACACACATGGAGCCCATCCAGCCTCCAGCATTCACAAACACCCACTGCAAGTCCTCATCAGGGAGGATGTGTCCAGGATACCTAGTTCAAATATACTTTGTTAGCCATTTATTTAACGTTAAAAAACTGATTAATAATCTGAATACCAAGTGAGAGTTTTCTGTGCAAATTTACCAGTTTTGAGTTTTAGTAGGAAAATCGGAGGAAAGTACCTCAAGGTCAAAGAAATCATTATGGACAACTTTCACTTTGGCTTTATTTTAGACTACACCAATTTTTCATACAGTATTAAAAAATGAAAGTGAATAAGACATCCATACTATACCAAGAAAGAATGAAGTGAAATGAGCACATGCTGAAGAGATAAGTTGCATCATGTTGCAGCTAATAAGTAGCTTAAACAACCTAATAGTGATGGAAATTGTACAGAAGCAACCACAAGCTGCCTGATACATGCAAGCCTGCGTGTAACGGTATCGTTACCTTTTTCTCAGCTCCACCACCACTTTGGAGAAAGCCTGCTCATGGTCCTGTCCTGAGAACAGACACATTTAAAATGCACAGGACATGCAGATATGGCAGTTCAGGCAACCGAAATTAGCTTCGCTTTAAATATAAACGAAATGAAGTGGCAACTTTTTTCACATGCAAACCCAAACTCACCTGCATACTGTTTGGCCAATTTGGCGACGTCTTCTTTGTTGAACACATACTGCTTGCTGGCCAACCAATACCGCAACAACAGCACGGTCAGGACGGTGACTCCGGCGAACACCAGAAGTCTTAAAATGATTTTGAGCAGGGACATGGCTGAACAAAACGCACAGACACACAGACAGGTTTGGCTACATGCATATAGGGAGGCGGACTGGCGTGGTGCTCCGCTCACAGCCTCTTCCTGGTCAGGTGAGGGAGGGAACTTTACGCTTAGCCAATCATGGGCCGAGTCAGTAGCGTAGGCAGCGCGCGACTCCAGGGTTGCCAGCACAATGCAAAACCGTCTTTTTCTAAAGACATTAAAATATCATATTAAAAAAAAACCAGTTGACCAAAGCTAAACATTTCAGGCTGCTGTATTGGGTGGTAACAGTCTAATGACAAATTATCCTTAGTTTGACGTTTTCAGTCTTATTTACTTACTTATTTGTTTAGATTTTTAGAAGTGTGCCATTGCATACCGGCTTGTGCACAATAGCAACCTTTCGCTTGTCAACAAAACAGGAAGTAGGCCAAGGTTTGTTGTGGACCGTGTTGATTTAGCGTCATACGCTAAAGTCCAGAGAAAGCTCATGGTTCAAAAAAAGAACACCGGGGAGGAGACAGCTGTGAAACAGTGAGTTACCGACATGAGCGGGAAGCAAGACGTCAGTTTTGACCCAAAAGGTACGCATTTTTTTGTGAATTTACAAACGTTAAAAAGCTAATTTCAATCACTCACTATATCCAATGACAGACACGGATAATGGATAATGAGTAGGACTTCTTAAATTTGTCAGTTTGCCTTAATGTTTAAGCATAAAAATGACTTCTATAATTTCCCGAGTTCTTCATTATTGTTTACCAAAAAGGTACTGCACTGGAAACAGTTAAAGCTAAAATGCATTCAGTCATGCTTCGGGGCTTGTTCACTACTCGAATTCACTGGTAGGTTATGGGAGTTTACACAAAGTCTTTAGTTATGTTGTACCCTGCACTTTTTCCCCTGTCGGCCTGACAGACATGCTGACTCTGCCAGCTGTCTTGTGACTGTAGTTCCTGTAGTTCATGTTGTAGCTACAAAACCTGCTCCTGAATGCTTTTTGGGGTGTGTCTTATAAGTAATAGTAAATGTTTAAATCGGGAATGTCAAACTCATTGTACATCGTGGGTAAGATGCACCCAACTTTGATCTGTCACTGTAAAAAAGTTTGATACACAAATTAAACCTTGAGATATTTTAATATAAGAAAAAAGTGCAGTTTCAAATTCAAATTTTATTTGTCACACACACACAACCATACACAGTATGACATGAGATGAAATGCTTGTAGCTGTGCAATGCAATGCCCGACCATTAAATGACAGTGGTTTTACAGTATTTACAATTTACAGGTTATTACAAAATTTACAGATTTAACTTAGACATTTACAGTAAAAAATGTGCAAGTAGCAGAAAGAGATTATAAATTATAGGAAGTGTGCATGAAGAAAAACCAGAGTGCGTGTGGTGATGTGATGTGTGTGAGAGTCCAGTCTTATAGTGATGTGATGTGTGTGGGAGAGTCCAGTCCTACACCTGGTTCAGGTCCCGAATAGCCTGGGGGAAGAAGCTCCTCCTCATTCTCTCTGTTTTGGCCTTAAGGGAGCGGAAGCGCTTCCCAGACCTCAACAGTGAGAAGAGTCCATTGTTGGGATGGGAGAGGTCCATCATAATCTTCCTAGCTTTGGTCTTGCACCGCTTGGTGTAGATGGACAGCAGGTCAGGGAGCTCTGGTTGAATGATGCGTTCGGCTGAGCGCACCACTCTTTGCAGATCTTGTCTGTCCTGCTTGGTGCTGTTCCCAAACCAGGTGCAGATGTTTCCCGTCAGGATGCTCTCGATGGTGCAGGAGTAAAAGTTCTTGAGCACCTTCAGTGGCAGATGGAAGTCTCTAAGTCTTCTGAGGAAGAAGAGACGCTGACGGGCTTTCTTAACCAGGGTGTTGATGTGACAGGACCATGACAGGTCCTGAGTGATGTGGACACCCAGGTATCGGAAACTGTCTACTCTCTCTACTGGTGTGCCACTGATGACGAGGGGCTTGTAATTCCTCGCCTGCTTTGTAGTGAAGTCCACGATCAGCTCCTTAGTCTTGCTGACGTTTAGGAGGAGGTTATTCTCCTGGCAAAGGAAATCACCGTTTTTCTACATGGTAAATAACCTTTTCTGTAGTGATTTAAAGAAATTGTAAGAAATAAATGTGTAAAATTACTGAAAAAGTATAAAACACAAAGATTTTTGTTTTGTTTTGTTTTTTTATGGAAAATGTCCTTTTTTGTGTACCCACTGTAAAAAATACCCAGACATTTCTATTGAACAAAAAGGAACTTCCTGTTGTTTAATTTAATTTTCTATCTGTTACCTAATTCCTTTGGTGTAGCATGGCCCATAGGGGAGGTTTTTTGTTATTAAAGCTGTGAAACGTATGAAAATAAAGTTAAGTCCAAGATTTATGCCTTCCTTCACACTTTCCAAAACTGTCCAGTAGGTCTGCTCGATTATGGCAAAAATGATAATCACGATTATTTTCACTGAAATTGAGATCTCGATTATTTGACGATATTTATTTAACAACAACAATGTATTGAATAATGGCTTTAAAGATTGTCAAAAAATAATAAAATAGTGTGCAAATACTGATAACAGTGCAAATGTTTGCAATATAAAAAATAAATGAAAAATGTAAACATCTATGTTTAGTGAACTTTGCAGTGTTGCTTTGTGGTGCCGCTACAACATCGTAGCAAAGTTTACACACTATGTCTACTTGATCCACGTCTGACTCTGCGAACCCATAATGTTTCCACACCATTGAAGTTTTTTTATCTCTCTTTTCAACCAGCGGCAGTCACTCTCCTCTCCAAATAACTTCTGCTTAGCTTTCCGAGCTTCCCTCGGGTCCTCTTAATCAGTGGTCCCCAACCCCCGGGCCTCGGACCGGTACCAGTCCGTGAGTCGTTTGGTACCGGGCCGCGAGAGTTGAGGCTCAGGTGTGAAATGTATAGTTTTCAGGGTTTTTATCGGTTTTCAGCGTTATTTTGTTATCGTTTTTATCGTTTACTCGGTTTTCCTGGGTCTTTTCCTGTGTGTTATGAATAAATTTATTTTTTCTTTAGTTTTATTTTATTCAGTTTTTATTCAGTGCTTTGGAAATGACAGTCTTCATTACAAAGCTTTCTTCGTTATGAATTAGCATACATGTTTTTTTTGAACATTTGAAGAACTAGCAAAAAACCCCACAAACTCTTGTAGTTCACATAAAGTCAGAGGTAAAAACGACAAGGAGCAGGTGCATCTAGTACAGGTAGAGCTGCTGCAAAAACCCACCGAGCCCAGCAGCCAGCAACAAATTCTGGATCCTTTGCTTTTAGTTAGCAATTAGCATTAGCAGCACATCCTGCGTCTGATGTGAAAGGACTTTTATGCTGCGCACTGTGACTCACAGCAATGGTCCCGGGTCAGCCCTGACGTTGTGTTAAACTAATCCTAAAGTAATAATGTATTTCTAACCACTGACATACCACAACTTTATCCTTTCAACAGCTGCTGAAAGTAAGGGGACCTAACTGCTATCGGATATTTACATAGAGATTACCCTTCAAGGACCTGCAGTTCAAAAGAGTGCCCCTCCGACAGCCAAACCCATCTGTTCTCTGATTGGATTGTTTAATTTGTGATTGACATGACATTGACCAATCAGCTTAAAGGAAGAAAAATAGGGTCAAAATTCGTACTTGTAACTTGCAGGGGTTTTTTTGGGCTAAGTCCACACACAAATCTTTTTTACACATACAAATCTTTTTTACAAGTACAAAACCGATTTACAAGTACAAAATATTTATGACCACATTTTGAGCCCATAGAGACTGCTGCTCTTAATTGTTGTGACACGTGTTCGAAATGCAGAGAGGTGCGCTCGATTTGCCACACGGAGCAGCGCGAGAGTAAAGCACGAGGGAGGGGCTAATAATCGGCTCAGTCATTTTTAATGATCGTTGAAAGCCCAGATCGTAATCGTGATTAAAATCCGATTAATTGATCAGCCCCACTGTCCAGTGGGGCCAGATTGGAGTCTTTGCCAGGCCAATTTTTGCCCCCGGGCCTTATGTTTGAAGCCTGTGGTTTCAATAATGTATGTGTGTTATTACATTGTCTTGTTACATTTTATCACTTGTCTTGTGTAACTTTAGAGCACCAGCACTTGCGTTACAACCCTCTTAGGGACAGCTGGGTTCTTGTGTCCGCCCACCGCATGAAGAGACCTTGGGCAGGTCAAGTTGAAAGACCACCTGAGGAGCACATACCAAGATATGACCCAAATAACCCACTTTGTCCTGGGAACAAAAGGGCAAATGGAAAGGTGAGAAGAGGCATTGAACAGCATTCTTTGGTTCTGATCACAACAAGTAGTAAATCCACAAACAAGGCATCCATTGGAAAACATATTGATAATGTCGTGGATAGTTCATCTATTCTTCTCTCCATTTATTATTGATGTTGTAGACATTAACAATCATACATAATGCTAAATTGCGCTGTAACATTGCCAGCAGTTCCAAATAAGAGGTTTCTTCACTCCTCATTCTGCTTGGGTTTTGAAAGAAAATGTTTTTCGTCTGCTGTTTTCTAATATCTCTCCAACTGTCTGCTTTTCTCCAGGGGAATCCAGATTATGACAGTACCTTTGTGTTTGAGAATGACTTCCCCGCTCTTCAGCCTGACGCTCCAGACCCTGGTGAGTTCTAGTGCAGTCTAAATACTGTAAGGAAAAGGAGAAGTAACTGCAGTACCTTTTTAATAAAATATTTAAGCAAGTAACTGCAATTCTTTCTTTCTTGCAAACTCGACTTTCGTGTAGCTCTTTAGCTATTTGGTTATAATACTTAAATATGATAAAGTATATATTGTTGTTTTGTTCTTCAGGTTCAGACCAAGATCCATTATTTCAGTCTAAAGCTGCAAGAGGTGTCTGGTAAGAACAAATCTTAATATCTCAATCTATATGTGTATGAAATGCAGTGCTCATAATGAAATGTATAATACATAGTATAAATTAATATGCAGTTGGTAAGTTATAATTTAATCTAGGACACGATGCATATTAATCAGTGTTCCTTTTCAAAATTATGATGCATTCAAATGTATGACTAATTAAATCTAAGCTGATGACTGCAATCAGAGCAGTCATGCTGAGGCAACTCTTAATTCGTTGTTGTCATCATCTTCATCATAATCAGCTATTAGATGACGCTAATTTTGTTCATCAACGCACTGCATGCTTCCTGTTTTCAGGACATCTTGAACTTGAGCAAAACAAAATCACCAAGCCACCGTACATACATTAGAAAGTGATGTTATTTTGTGCAACCAGCAGATGGAGATGTTTTATCAGTACTCTAGTTTGTAGCTCCTTGGTGCATGAGTGATATTTTCCTAAATCCATCCACACTGATAAATAACATGTCCTTCGGTAGCTCAAAATGCCTATTCCTGGGTGTATCTTGTATTCTACAAAGTTCAACTTAAGAATGTTTTACAACAGGAGTCAGCTCAATAAACACTGGCTGCTGGATTTATACATCTCCAGAGAAGCTTAAAAAAGACCTAAATCCTTTGTTTGTGCGCACTTCTATAATACAATACACAGCATTTTCTATTTCAAAAATTCACAGATTACATTTTTCCCTCTCTGGGTACTTGGCCACACATGATTCTTGCTATGCTATGAATCAAAGATATATAATTGTCAAATTGGTTTAAGGAGCGCTTTCAGGGTAAAATATTAAAAGATGAACCTAAAACTCCAACAGGTTGTGGCATATAGGCCTTTATAAGAGACAAAATGAGTGGTTGAAATTTTTTAAGTGGTGTTTTACTAGTAGCAAACTTCAAGGTGAAAGTGGAAAATTCCACAAGTAAAACTCAACCAATAAGAGTGGACAGATGTAAGAGCCCAGAAATCAACAAAATCACCAAAAATTCACCAAAGTCAATTCAAATCAGACAAAAAAGACCACACAGATAATATAAATACATCTTCAAAGGCAAATTAAGTCTATAAGAACAAAGTAAAATTTTTCTTAAAAAATGCATTTTACTAGTTTGTTATAAACTTTATTTGCCTTCGAAGGTTAAATCTAACAAGAATAAAGGGATTTAAATTTTATATGAATAGAGAGTGCTTTGGAGTTTTTTGATATTTTTGCATAAATAATATTCAGTCTGAAGGTAACATTCCCAAACAATCCTGTGCTCTGGGAATTCTTGCTTGATTCTGTCTGACAGCAGAGTTGCATAACTACTGAATAATAGATTTAATCAAAAAATATTGTGCTGGTTGAAAACTAAAGACTCTTCTTTTTTTTTCTTTTCTAAATCCCATGTGCTGGCAGATGTAGAGGCCGTCAGGTGTTGCTTACCACACTCGCAATGTGATGAAGCACAGAAACAGCAGTGACTGACTTAAAAAATATAGTACATTTTAGGGTACTTTTCTTCCTCTGTCTCACTTTAGGTGAGAGTGTGTGATTTTGCTCGCAGTGTGAGGTTGTATTCATATTTGTTCACACATCCAGCATGCTGCTGCTTTCCTTTTAGTGTATCTGTGATCAGTATTTGCTTTTGTGGCCATATTAACAGAATAATAAACGTGAAAAATAAAGTAGATCTTTGTACCCTGCAGCAAAGTTCAGTGCCAATTAGAGGGGAGTGCAGAATTGGAAATGTAATTTAGGGGATCTGGGTCACGGAAGGCAATAGAAAGCTGTAGTGCAACAAAAGAAATAAGAACGTTTTTAACACTTTATCATAGTAGGCTACCCCTCTCAGCACTGTGGTGACAAAAAATTGGTCTCACTTTATTTTACAGACCTGACAGTGTCTTGTTTTCCTTTCTAGGAAAACTAAGTATAGCTGCCCAGGAATATTTCTAAGAAGGACTTTGAAATTTGCTAAAACTTTTAGTAAAAGCAATGTCAGTTGACACCTTACAATAATTATAGTTATTTAATGGTGTAATTTGCTGTCAGTACAGGTGTCTTTTTGTCTTAAATTTAACTTCAAGCAAAAGGAAGATTCAAGAGATAATTAGGTGTTCTGGTTTTGTTGTTGTGTCAGATTTAAGGTAACTTAAGATTATATTTCTTGAAAAAAATGTCTCTGGAAATCAACAATTTCCATCTAATTACTCATTTACTTTAAAGCTAGCTTGTGTATACAGTAATAAAACAAAAACAAAAAACCCCTCAATTTTGTTTAAGCACAGCTCTGTTAAGGTCATGCTACAGCATTTCATTTGGGTTTTTACTTTGACTGGACCATTACAACCACCTTGAGTCTTGTCTTTCATTTGCTAATGTCCTGTTATGTGACCCCTTTTCGCCCAAGCTTTAGATGTCCGACACATGCCCTCAGATTGGACTCTAGATTGCTCTGATATACAGAGGAGTTCAAGGTTAGCTCAGTGACTGCCATGTACCCGGGTCCTGTGGCTGGAAAGCAAACCGTGCTTGACAGTTGTTGTGTTGATTGTTGGTTTTTACACTTCTATATATTCCTGCTATACTGCTATATTTTTTAAAGAGAAGAGGCTTTCTCATAGCAACCCTTTCTAACAAGCCAGACTTGTTCAGTCTTTTTGTAATTCTGCTGTAATGAACATTTAACATGTAGAGTAGTCTGATAAGTACCCCTTAGGTTTTTTTTTTTGCAATTTGTCTCAACATTGCACGGTCTGACCTTAGGGTGAACTTGCTGGAACATCCACTGCTGGGAACATTATTGCATTGTGTTAACAAACACCTGAATGCTTCAGGCCAGCAATCTGCCCAAACATCTGCTTTTACAGAGGTGATTACATTTGCGGAAGATCAATTAATCAAGCGTGTTTTATTAGCAGCACCTGGCTGTTACTCACCCCCTTAATTCCTATAGAAGCAATACGGATGTATTTAATTTTTCACAGGACCTCATGCATTAAAAAAAGTATTTTTGACATTTTACAACAGAGCCCAAAGTAAACTGTTTTAAAAGAGAAAGCTCACAGTTGCTTGATGTTGTGTTAGCTGCGCTACATGGTTTGATGAGCTGGTCAAACTGGTGCACAGTAAAAACTGCTGTTGGAAATATAAATAAAATTTCTGCTCTTCTCATAGCAAGTGCTGATATCTTCAGTGATCCTCTGACTTTTTGCTTTCGATCAGCTTCATTGTGTCAGATGTTTAATTTGTGCTGTTTGTTTACAAAAGTTGGTTAAAATGCCTAAACAACCCCCCACCCACGACCCTGAAAAGGATAAGCGGAAGAGGATGGATGGTTTTGTATGGTGATCTGAAAGCAACCACATGCCATACCACATTAATGGAAAATTAAACTAGTCTTAACCCCAACTACTATTTTCTTAAACTTAACTATACGCTTTAAAGATGTTTTGACCTCAAACTTGAATCATTCAGTTTTATGGTTAGCTGCCCTCATATATCTGTGTAAATATGACTCGTGTTGGAAACACCCAGCTCCCATCTGCTCTATTAGCCTTCTCATGAACAATGTATAAACCAACATTCAGTTTTGCTCAGAGCGTAAACACCAAAGTCGTGTTCAATTATTGATCACACACTAGCTGCTTGGGCCCAAGAAGAGCCTGCCTGTTGATAGAAATTTCATTATTCTCACTCTGACAGTCAAGTTGATTTTCCTTGCTACTACAGATAAGCCTGAAAGCAAACACATGGAGACATGTCTTCTTGACGTTACCACTACTACATGTGCGGACACACACACACACACACACACACACACACACACACACACACACACACACACACACACACACACACACACACACACACACACTGTTCTGTACATCACTTGCTATGAGAGTTACACTTGTTAATTAAGTCCGGGAGATGCAGGGGGGGCTGCTTGTCAGTGCCAGCCAATTCATAACGCTGTGTGAGTGTGAAGCTCTGCAGATGGTGGGAAGCAAAAGAGATAACAGTACAGTATGTTTCCATGCCACAGTTAGATATGGACGTGAGCCAGACTTTTTTTAAGCAGGTTTCTCTTAATTGGAGTGTAAGCTTAGCAAGTTTGTCTCCTGATCCAGGTTCCATAAGTAATTGTTGTTGTAAGAAGCGACGTTTTTGTGGATGTTAACTGGAAGCTCCTGATAGCAACTGAAGTACGCACAACCGACATTTATAGATTTCTGTGTGTGTGTGTTATGTCAAGTTGGGTGTTTTCAACCCAAGTTAATAACTGTCCAAGGGCTAAGTATGTCACAGCAGCTAACACTGCCCTGTTGTAGAAAGACAAACCAAGCTTTTTTTAAATAGTTTTTCTATCAGTACCTTTAGTGGCTCCATATTGCAGTGACTTACAAGGTTGTTGGTTTGATTCCAGCTGGAGACACAAGTCCCTTTGGATAGCATCAGGAAATGCATCCACTGTGAAACTACTAAAACATGCAGAGCTTCCTGCACACCTTAATTTAATTATTGTATTGTTCACACACATTACAAACACATTCTGTTGTGGTGAGGTTGGACCCTGAGCAATATTAACAAGTGCTCATGTCACTTCAGCATTTTCTTATCATTCACGTCATTCAACAGGCATCTCCGAAAATGTTAGAGCACTTTTGCAAATGTGTGATGTCTTGATGAATCGAGCAGATATTTGAAGTTTACACAGAAACATTCTTCGAGAAAATATCTTAAAAGTTTATTTTGTGATCAGAAAGAGTAATATTTCAAACTCCGCCACTCTGTGTTCCTCCGCCACTGCCTCGTTTGAGTTTTGGACGAAATGCATTCTGGGATATTGCATTTCGTCATTTCGAGCTGGTTGGAGACCAAAACAGCCAATCAGATATTTTTTTTTTTGCATCCAAGTCTGTGATTGGCTGGTTTTATGGCACAAATATAACGGTGTAGAGAAAGAGTTGAACGCGCACAGGCAGAAATGTTGAGAGCGCGAGCAACACATTGAGAGCGAGCGCAAACACAAAAACTGAGCGAGAGGGGCTGCTGTGTGTGTGTGTGTGTGTGTGTGTGTGTGTGTGTGTGT